CAAATGTTGCTAATCTTCAAAATGTTGGTGATCGCTTGTTTGATGAAGCCCTATATGAAGCTGCAAAAATAATATTTGCATTTATATCTAACTGGGCCAAGTTGGCTGTTACACTGGTGAGGCTTAAACAATTCCAGGGTGCTGTTGATGCAGCACGAAAAGCAAACAGTGCCAAGACATGGAAGGAGGTGTGCTTTGCTTGTGTTGATGCAGAGGAATTCCGATTGGCACAGATATGTGGTCTTAACATTATTGTTCAGGTAAGTTTTCATTCATGTTGAAACAACAAAATTGTTGGTATGGGTGATCATTCAGTTCCCTTTTATTTCTCCTCATGTTTGTCTGTTGGATACTGTTTGTCCATGATGATTTTGACGGTTATGTTTGTTGATTTTGTAGGTGGATGACTTGGAAGAAGTCAGTGAATACTATCAGAATAGAGGATGCTTCAATGAGTTGATCTCTCTCATGGAGAGTGGTTTAGGATTGGAACGTGCGCACATGGGGATCTTTACTGAGTTGGGAGTTCTGTATGCCAGATATCGTCCAGAGAAGCTTATGGAGCACATTAAATTGTTCTCTACTCGTCTCAATATTCCCAAGCTGATAAGGGCTTGTGATGAGCAGCAGCATTGGAAGGAACTAACCTATTTGTATATCCAATATGGTGAGTTTGATAATGCTGCAACTACCGTGATGAACCACTCTCCTGAAGCATGGGATCATATGCAGTTCAAAGATATTGCAGTTAAAGTTGCTAATGTTGAGCTATATTACAAGGCTGTCCACTTCTACATGCAAGAACATCCTGATCTCATCAATGATATGCTGAATGTGCTTGCACTTCGTGTGGACCACACTCGTGTTGTTGACATTATGAGAAAGGTTCCATTTTGTCATATAATGATCTAATTGTAAAATAAATACTACTGACTTGTTTTAATATTGTTTGAATTCATTTCGGGTTGACAATTATTTCCTTCTGGGATTTCAGGCTGGTCACCTGCGTCTTGTGAAACCATACATGGTTGCTGTTCAGAGCAACAATGTGTCAGCAGTAAATGAGGCGTTAAATGAGATTTATGTAGAGGAAGAAGATTATGATAGATTGAGAGAATCTATTGACTTGCACGATAATTTTGATCAGATTGGCCTCGCACAAAAGGTGAAGTAATGTTGTTCTTACATTTTTGTTTGCTGTTAGATCGGTTTCTGATATTATTTCTATATTGATTGAGTAGATTGAGAAACATGAGCTGCTTGAGATGAGGCGAGTTGCTGCATACATTTACAAAAAGGCGGGCAGATGGAAGCAGTCAATTGCCTTGTCAAAGAAAGACAACCTTTACAAGGATGCAATGGAAACAGCTTCACAGTCAGGTGACCGTGAACTTGCCGAGGAGTTGCTTGTTTACTTCATCGAACAGGTAATCAACTCATTCCTAAATATGCAGAAAAATATACACTGACTGATGGTTTATGGCGTGATGGTCATATCTTTGGAGGTATAAAGCATTATACCTTCATGGTCAACCAGTACATCTGATTACCTTAGTTTGCTCTCTTCCACTTGTTTCTTTAGGGTGCAACTATAAGTATAAAATCATAGTAGTTGATAACCATTCTATAAGTATAGGACACGGAGAGGAAGTCCTCAATGTAAATTTGTGCTTGAACTATGGTGGTTTTTCTTCTGGTATTGTTTTAGGAATGTTGGATATTGTTTTGAATTGGACTTAATTTTTTGTGTTGATGTTCTTTATACAGGGCAAGAAGGAATGCTTTGCATCGTGCCTCTTTGTCTGTTATGACCTAATTCGACCAGATGTTGCTCTTGAGCTAGCCTGGATTAACAATATGATTGACTTTGCATTCCCGTACCTGTTGCAGGTGATTTTCTGTACTGCTGCTTTCATCATCATCATTTGATTGGGTTTTATTAGCTAGGCTTGGATGATTGATCTCAGTGCATCTTCCCATTTTACCCTGATTTTTTTTTTAAAGATCCTTCTTAATTAGGAGATAATAGTGTTGGAACCTTATTTGACTCTATTTTTCTAGTTTATCCGTGAATATACTGGCAAAGTTGATGAACTTATCAAGGACAAGATTGAGGCTCAACATGAAGTAAAGGCTAAAGAGCAAGAAGAGAAGGAAGTCATTGCACAACAGGTATAACAACTTCGAATGTCTAATCGACAACTCTGTTTTCTTGAAAATATTCTCTACCCTCCTGGGAGTAGCTAACATCTTCATTGGGTTCAAACATCTTCCAACTGATTAAAATGCTTTCTGTCGCAGAACATGTATGCTCAGTTGCTACCTCTTGCCTTACCTGCACCGCCAATGCCAGGCATGGGAGGACCGAATATGGGAGGAGGTTTTGCTCCACCACCACCCATGGGAGGAATGGTTATGCCTCCAATGCCACCTTTCGGCATGCCACCAATGGGCAGCTATTAAGTCATAATAGGTTGGTTTGATTGAAGATTTTATTAGCCAGTGGATCCATGTTGTTGCTCCAGAGAAAGGACATCATAGTTCTATTAGTGGCATTTCATCAGGTTTCGACGCCTTCATTTTTTTCATTTCGTCTTCCCTGGTCTGATGGAGTGAAGATCAAAATTGTAATAATGCCATTGTTGTGTCTTTGGAGTGTGATATGTGTTTGTAATTTTTGTTTTGTAGCAAGAAGCATTTTTTTAACTGCTGGTAGAGGACTAGCCGTGGATTTCATGCATATTTTTGTATTTTGTAGTATTATTTCGTTCCGGTCGTTGGCATGGACCGAGTATATACAAAACTCTTCACACCGATCGTAATTTCGGAATTTGATATTCTCATTTAAAATTTGTTTCTCCCTGAACGTAGTCCGTTCAATGTGTTTTTCTTGTTTTTATTTTATTTTATTTTATTTTAATTTTGCTTCATTTTTCAAGCAGAAACAGAAATTAGCTTATGAATAATATGATTTAATAGAATTTTTTTTATTTTGTAGCTGAAATTATCAAAAGGTAAAATGAAAATGAAATTATCTATTGTTTCAAAGTAAAATAAAAAAGATCAGACGTCATTATGTGATTCTTACCAATAAGTTGTTGGATGTAAAAAAATTAATGAGGTCTAAAAACTCGTATATGTCCAATTTATCAAGAATAAGAAAATTTTTCCTTTTTATTTGTTTGCATGTCAAAAAAATAAAATGTTTTCATTTTCACTCTTTTTAATTTATTTTCCATGGAAGTAAATGATTTGTTCTTTTTATTTTTTAGGAATTTTCTTTATTTCTAAATTTTTCTCCATTTTCTTTCTTTTATATCAGACTGGGGCTAGGATTACCACAACTCTGGGCCGGATATTCTTCAAATATATCCATCTAAGGCCTAAAAGCTACATCCTTTGGACAATGATCTAATTTGGTGGGAATCTCCCCCTATATGAAAATCATCCTAAAAATTTATGATCAGCAGAAAATCAACTTTATCTGCATTTGCATTACTGCAATATGTCTGGTTGCTGGGCATTGTACTTTTATGATTTGTTAGGAGCTTACATATGTTTTAAGAATTCATTCACATGGATGTTTCCTTTGTTGATCTTCAGCTTCATCAATTTCATCCACTATGCAGGGATTTGGTAAGACTTTTGGGTGTTGCTGTTGCTGAATCCACTCCATGATAGATGAGCATTTCGGCATTAGTGTTGTTGTAGAGTTCATGGCTGCAGGAGCCATACCAATTGGTGGGCATGGCAAATGATATTTCATTTTCAGATTGAAGATACTTTTTTTTTTTTGTCTGTTTATAAAATGTTTTCGCTTGGCACTGATTTTACTTGCTCCCCCTCTTCAGCTCATAATTCTGCTGGACCCAAAATGGACATTGTTTTGGATGAAAATGGACAACAAACAGGATTTCTTGCTCAAACTGTAGAAGAATATGCAGATGCAATCCTGAAAATGGTAAGGATGCCCGAGTCCGAAAGACTCAAGATAACTGAAGCTGCAAGAAGAAGAGCCAGCAGATTTTCTGAACAAAGATTTTGTGTCATTCCTCCTAGTGATAGTGTTCCAATGGAATCACACCGAAATAGAAAACAGTAGTTGTAGTTTAGTTTTTCTTGTTTCTTGGGGTTCTTCATCTGTCTAATCCTGTCATTAGAGAAAGGGTTGATAAAGCTTTGTCAACAAAATAGTTATTATACTTTTAACTTTGATTACAAACATAATTGAAGGAATATCAGTTTTTGAATGGCAATTGAGAAGTGACTTGACTTTAAGCCTTTGCCAGCCTCTTTCTTCTGCTCCAAGGGAGGTTATCATTAAGGAATGGGAAGATTTACACTAGCTTTTTTTCTTATTTCTTTTAATATCTTTAAGCTTTAATTGGTGTTTTTCTCAGTTTTTCTCAGTCAATTAAAATTATGGGAATTTTGCTTAGTTTAGTTAAAACACTATTTTATAGTATTGTTTTATATTAAATATATTTAAAATAATATTTTGATGCATCAAAAAAAAAAATTTACTAAATACAGTAATTTGAACTCCCTAACAAAATATTGAAAGTTTATAGTACATTCCAATTTTGTTGAATATTATGTTATTTCCACAAATATATGCATTTCATACATGGAATTGAATTAAAATTTAGAAATTTAGATTCAAATATAAGATTTTTTTAAATTTAAGATTTTGAACTTTTGAATTTTGATTATTAAAATTAAAAATTTAATATTAGCACACAATTATTTGAATTTTGATTCAAATATAAAATAATATTATAATTAAAGTCTTATTTTTTTTAATTCCGTTTATAAAGTTAAAATTTTGATTACTAACACTAAAATATAGTAGTTGTAAATTATAATTTAATTAAAATAACAAGACCAGAACAAATGTTACTAAAAACAAATTAAGAAAAAAAAAGGAAAAAGATCAGGGCGTGCCTTTCACGTTCGTTGAAAGGCGGTGGTGCTAAAATCAAACAGCTGATCTCCTTTGATTTCGTTACTTCATTGCCACAAAAACACACCGCGTCCTATGGTTGCCACTAAAGCATGGCTATTTCTCTAAACTCAGTCTTCGGCTTCAATTTTAAGGTAAGACAACCAAATCAATGTCTTCTTTTTTTTTTTTTTTTTTTTAAACTTTGACCTTTTCATTTCTTTCTGCTTGTTTCAGACAGCTTCTTGGAAGTGTAACATTCTTAATGGGATTTATTTCTTTTGTTTTTTTAAAACCTTTTTATGCCATAAAAAACACCCTTGGATTGTCTCTGGCATTAGTTTTTCTATTGGGTTCTCTTGTTTTCAGCTTCTGAGCCTTTTTAGGAGTTGAAAACTTAAGGATATTAATGCAACAATATGTTTTGTTAATCGGATTTTACTTTTTTTAATCTTAAATGTTATAGATGATTAATGATTGTGGCCTAATTCGTTTTAATTTTCATGACTTGTCTAGTTTTGTTGGGTTATAGTACACATTAGTTTGACTGGTTACTCCATAGAATGGGCTTGCAGTTTCCCGGTGATAGCATTTGATGGTAATGTTTTGCTGGGTTGGCCTTCTTTGTCTTTGGAAATCTATGCGGATATACCTCCGAGCAGTGTCATAAAATGCATATTTATTACTGGGGCTGGCTTGGCTCTGATTTAAGTGAAGTGGTATAGTTGTAGAATGGGAAAGTTATTAAGTTAATGACCTTCAAACTTAAGACTGTTTTTCTTCATGGAAAACCAGAACCTATGTCTTCTCTATTCAAAGTATATTAGGCACATGAGGAAATAACTGAAAAAGAGATTTTAATGCTTCCAAATAATGTTGCTTGGGTTCTTCATTTTCCTTGAAGTATCCATGTCCGACATATAACCAGCGGACATGGGTATGGATGTCTGATGCTCCAAATATATGAAAGAATTTAGAAAAAATTGAGCATACCAGTGTCCGACTCTCACCCCAAGTTTGAGTAATAGAACTTCAAAATGTAGTGCAGTCTGTGTAGATGTTGTTTGAGAAATTGCTTGTTTCTTTGCTGGTAGTATTTTTGCTTTTTGGTTTATTAATGGATCGAGTAACTGTAAATGCATAATCCAACATACTTTTTGAATGTATATGGTTTTTCTCTCTTGGTATTAAGTATTTCTACTGAGCAGCATATCTTTTTGTTTTTTAAATTTAATGTAGCTTATACATATTTTGATTACTCTACCCTGTTGGTTGTTTACAAAAGTATTTCCCTAACTAAAGTTGCAAACTTGCAATGTAAATATCAGTATGTCTCGAGATCTACTGTTGGAGTTTCAGCACTTAAGGCGAATCCTATCACACCTCCCTTGCAAATGTATGGCTCTGGGGGACGTATACAGCAAAAGAGATGGGGGTTATGTCTTTCACTTGCAGACAGTGACAGACTAGCCATGAACATTAAGGGTTCTGGAGATGCTGAGAGGCTGGTTTCTGATGATCAAGTTTCAGCTGTGAATTCCCCATCATTGGATTCAGATAGTAATGTTGATAATGAATCTCGCTCCCAGACCTCAGAGGCTAGTAATGGTTCAATGGTTTCTTCAAATCTGAAGCAGGAGGCATTTTCATCTCCTAACTTGGAGTCCACAACAAAAAAAGCACCGCTAACAGCGAAAGAGAGATTAAGGGCAGCTCGGGTCCTCAGCCGTTATGCAGAGTCAAAGCCATCTAAATCAGAGATGGGCAGTAAAGTATTGGATGCCATGAGGGAAAGTGATAAGGGGAAAAAAAGATCTCGCCTTCCAGAGGCACCTACAAATTTGTTTGATGACAGCAAACGAGGATTGCCAAAGCAAGGCCTGACTTTTCAGTTTCCAGGGGGTAATGATCTCTTTATCATCATCTTTTCATTTGTTTTTATCAGCACAGTAATGTTCACAACAACTTACATAGTATGGAAAGTTGGGGCCATACATTTTAATGAGTACTAAGGTGGAGAGCAACCCAATTCTGCATTGTTGGAACTGCTAACTCCTTGACACATCATTGAAGATCACACAGCCTCTTGATTTTACGTACTATGCATTCCCAAATGTTATGTGGCAAAGATTTTACTTTTGGATGAGCCATCTATGCATGAATGTACAAAGTATTGTGTGGTTGATGTTTATTATCAATGCTCAACCTTTTCAGCCTGGTATGCTCTTGTAATTATTTTTCTTCGAATCTTTTCTGCCAAGTATTTAGATTAACATGATAAGAGCAAGGTAATTCCTAGAACTTCTGAAGCTCGGTTCTTTTTAGCAATGAATGCCTGCCTCTCAATCTTCTTTTGACTGTACTTTCTCATTATCTGTTCATAACTTGGGGAAGGAGCCTTGCTTCTTTTTTAACAAGAAGATTAGCTTGCACATTTCTGTCTCACTTGCAGCAATGAAATTTCTTAAGTGTTGCTAAACTAAGATGATATTAACTGCCTCGTTAAGACTGAAATGCTGTCTTTTTGGGAATGGTGTATTAGGTAAAAGGCTCCTTTATCCTTTGTTTTTTCCTGAAGTATTGTAGTTGCTCAAATTTCAAGTTGTGCCCGTTGGTTCTTGAATTTTCAATAGTTTTTTTGCTACTTGAAACTGCAGTTCTATTATGTAATTATGAATGAACTGAACACCTAGAAAAATTACAATTTATGGGGAGCTGTTGAATTTCCTACTGGCCTGATTGAATGACTTTACTGCCTGTTAGCTTCTTGCTATGATTTAGGGCCACGTAGCTCGGTCTAATGCATCCATTTTGGATTTCAAAAAAAAATTTAAGGTGCCTGCATATGCTTTGATATAGATATGTGTTTGGCATTGAAGTCAACCTTTTTCCCTGGAAGTTTCTCTGTAACTAAAATTCCAAATTTGTGCTATTTCTATAACCAATGAAGCGTGTTTTTCAGAAAACGTGTCGAATTTGGTATTTGCTTGCTATCAAACTGCCCAGCTTATGGAGCAATGGCCCCCATATGTCTCCTCACTGATTGATTCATATCCCTTAAATGTCCTAACCTTCATATTTCATTGGTCATTGTGCTGCTTATTGCATACAGTTATCTGTTAAACTGCAGTGTACAACATGACGGACTCATTTTACATGAGATTGTGAACCACAAGTACACGTCTGATTCAGGCTTGAGCAATTTGCTAGTCTTTTCGAATTCATCAGCTTAATCTTTAGTCATCCTCGTTGGAATGAAGAGAAGTTGATAAACATGTGATTGTTGCTTGTTATAATGTGCTTTTTACCGCTGTTTAGCATAAAAAAACTGCTTGATCATGAACATGGTCTTTAGTTAGTCAAAGTTATTACGGCTTTGATGCATTAAAATTGCTTGACAAAAACCCTTGGTGGCCAAGTGCATCTAAGAAAATGAATCGACATTTTCCACATTTTTATTGTGACACTTGCCGACGTTAAAACATGAGATTTGAAGCAGTGGGCTGGAGGTAAACAGTAGGGGTAACAAAATCATCGGCACCATACAGTCTCGGAAAGAACTTGAACAATATGAGTGGTTGATCAAAAAGTCATGTCGATCATTGACAGCCTTTTATTATGAGTTGCAATTTGATTGTGATTGGGGTCCTACATCGTGACTAACTAGTGATGGTAATTTAAGCCACCTTGTTTGCTTGTGTAGGACGCCGGTACTATGCTTAAAACATAGAGAATCAAGTGAGAAAGGACAAAGAAAACCACCAAAACTTTGCCTTCTTGCAGATAAAACTTCTTCGATCCGTCTTTATCCCAAACCACTTAGAACTATGGTGGAGATAAGAAACTAGTATTAGTAACAAAGATCAATGATCAAAGAGGTGTTATGTCCCAAGTACGGGTTCAAGTGTATTTCTCACAATTTTTCAATATGAAATTGAGGCGTTACAGTACAAAAAAAGAGAAAGAGAGATAGCCAGATGAATAAACATAAATATAGCCCAAAGTAGGAAAGCTGAATACAGCAGTTCATGTCATCGTGGGTTCAATGACAACTTTTTAATTCTTTGAAGAAAAGGAAAAAAGATAAAACAGTTCATAGATAAGTATCAGATAGCAAAAGCTAAAACAGGAAAAGTTCCATCCACTACCCCAACTTGTTACAGTTTTAGAGATGTGAATGGTACAATAATTCTTGTAAGACTACAGATAAAGAAGATGCTCTTTCTAGGTCATCTGCAGCCACCGCGGAACAGTCAATCCATGATTGAACAGGCTGCTTCCAACCATCATTTTCTCCACATTTATTTCCGCACAATTCTCTTTGTTGTCCATTTTTGACAAGCATTGCAGTTAATGCTTTGCCAGAGCATGATCCTTTTTCTCTCCAAATATTTCATGATCTATAAAGTTTCAGTTGGCTTGATAAAGTTTGTCGAAAATTAATCCTTGTTGAGATATGACAGCCGGATAAGGCCAAAAATGATTTTCATTTGACCAATCAAAAGTTATAAGATATCACACCAATCACCATGCATCGGAATTTCAAGATCACGCATTATTAGCTCAAGAAACAGTAGCTCTAAATGCCTAATAAAAGCAGGTTGATTCCAGATTATTGGATTTTAGAACTCTTTCTATTAGTTTTAGCTATGGAGAATTCTTACCATTCTAGCCTGCCTGAAGCTGAAAATTGGGTTGATTTCAATGCTACAATAAGCAACGAGTCTTCTTTCATAGTCCCATGGTCAATAGAGCCTCATTTTTCAGCCTCTAGTTCAATTCAATGCCAAGGTTTCCCTTCATGGGGACCACCAATTGAAGGAGCGGCAGAGGATAGAGCTACAACTGTTACCAAGAGCCATAGCCAAGCTGAGAAAAGGCGCAGGGATCGAATTAATGCACAGCTTGCAGCTCTCAGAAAACTGATTCCCAAGTCTGACAAGGTACTCTCTTCAGGCACATACTTTTCTTTGTTAGTTTAATTTGCTAAAAATAGTTCAGAAATGATATTTAGACCCGGGTAAACAAATAAACCATTGAGATTTACAAGCAAATTTAGCAAGTTCAAGACTTGAATAGAGCAAATTCTTTTTTGTACAGATGGATAAGGCAGCTCTATTAGGAAGTGCAATAGAGCAAGTAAAGGATCTAAAGCGAAAAGCAACAGAAATCAGCAAAGTTTTCACCATACCGACAGAAACTGATGAAGTAACTGTAGATTGTGATCTTCCTGAAGACATAAGCCCCATCAATACTAGACAAACCAAGGACAAGATCTTGATCAGGGCTTCTGTTTGTTGTGATGATCGGCCAGAAGTATTCACGGAACTCATCCGAGTCCTCAAAGGCCTAAGGCTAAGCACAGTTAAAGCTGACATTTCAAGTGTAGGTGGAAGAATGAAAAGCAATTTAATCCTTTGCAATAATAACAGTGATGATGAAGAGGCTGTTTCACCAAGCACTCTAAAACAGTCCCTGAATGTAGTTTTAAACAGGATTGCTTCATCATCCACTGGATCAAATTGTCGGATCAGAAGCAAAAGGCAAAGGTTGTTCTTGCCTTCTCAGTTTACACAATAAATAAATTATAATATATACTCCATTTCCAATAACATTAATGCAAGTTTGCGACAGTTCATTTCTTTTTTCACATTGAGAGATGCTTTGCCCTTGTTTATATCTCCTTGGCAGATAAAACATGAGGGTGACACTCAAGTTCAATTAGTTGGTGCATGATCTTTTTTTCAAAAAGCAGGAATCGAATCCCTCTTTCCAAATTTTCTTTTTGTATGAAGTGGCATGCGAAAGGCACGCGAAATCATCATTTAATTTGGTTTTCCAATAAGGCTTAAGTGGGTTTCTTGCTGTGACCACTATTTGCTTCCTGAAAACCAACACTTTACCTTATCACAACATCAATTCTGATGTTGGTTTAATGGTTTTCCTTTCCATCCCCCACTTACAATCGACAACCATGAAAGGAAAAGAAGCATTTACATAGTTGACTCACTTGATGATGGCCGTTCAATTAATCAGTTATTGCTTGACCCAATTTCATTGCTTGTATCCTAACCTTGTCATTTCCATATCTTTCTTTCTCAAGCCATTATTATTAGAAAAAATGGAGGAAAACCCACACACTTGCAAATATGGCATCCATGTATAGTTTCTTCCACTCCTCCAAATAGTTTGAGGTCAAGCCTAATATTGTATGTTAATGCCTATCATTAAGTCCATTTGGTGGTTTCTTTATATTTAAATTAATTTAAGTTTTATGCATGAATATTTGACTCGATTATATGATTTTTTACTCAAATAATAAGATTTGAATATCTTTTTTTCAAATTAAAAAAATAACACAATTTCTTCACATTTTATTGAAATGAATTATAAGCAAATATATAAAAGAAGTTTCTATTATATAATTTAACCAATACATTTTCATTAAAGACAAAAGGAAAAAAAATTGATGGACCAAATATCTTGCCAGTTGCTATCTTTCTTAAAATTTCAATGATCTTATGCACTCAAATTTTTTATTTATATTATGATCATGATTGAGAAGTATTAATTATTAAAAAATAAGCTGCTCTAAAAACAATTTAATTTCTTTAAAAAAACAAAGAATCGCAACTAATTTTCCTCTCCAATGTTGGTAGAAGCAAATCTTCCAACAGTGTCCATCACAACTTTCAAAGCCACTTGGTTGGGCTATGACCTGCCTATATTGTCTCACTGCAGTCCAAGGTGGTGGCCTGTCCTATATCCTGTATTGACTCAAATCTCAAGTTCTTTGATGAAAAGTTGAAAACTCTTTTTACTTTCACATGATAATGCGGTCTGAAGTAGTTTTTACATTATCGTTATGTTTCATGATTGAATTCGTTGATCATCCAACTAAATGTCTAAAGTAAAGCATTCTCGCTGCATCATCATTTCATTTTAAGATTGGATTCATTGATCATCCAACTGAAGTTTAAGGCAAGTGAAAAAGATATTGCTAGTTGTGCTAACGAGGTTTAAGAAGCCCACAAAAAGATGCTAACCTGATTAAGCTAGTGGAACACATGGCCCAAGGAACTGGTCCATGATAAGGAAGAACAGGCAAGTCTTGCCGTCTACGGTGGTGCAATCAACTCTGCCCCGCCGTGCAACACCGTCCTCTTACGGAGGATGCTGTTATCATCCAAGCAAATGACGTTCATGGGAAAAAAATGGGCCACCATTGCTGGTTTATTGCCTGGACGTACTGATAACGGTATAAGAAAACCATTGGAACTCGACTTTATGTCGGAAACGAGAAACGGAGTTGTCATCCGGGTCGTTCGATTCGAACTCGGGGGTGAAAAGACCGAGTCACGATGTGTCGGAGTCTGACTCGGGGAGTAAGAGGCAGTGTTTAGGAGTAGTGGTGCACGAGCATGAGAATGTAGGGTTGGACTTGGTAGTGCCTAAGGCGTTTCTGGCGTTGTCTCCACCAGTGGAGTACGGTGGAGGATGAGGTGGAAGAAGAAGAGGAAGAGGAGGTGGTGGTGGTGCTGGTGGAGAGGAGGAGAAAAGGAGAGTAAAGATGGAGCAGACTTGCTTGTTGACCATCGTGCAACGTATGATTAAAGAGGAGGATAGGACTTATATTGATAGATTAATAGCTGATCAAAATCCATGAAAAATCATAGATATGTTACTAAAGAAATCTCGCCTTCTAAATTTGTTTTTGTTTCAAAATTTCATGTTGGTAATCTTTTAGCAAGTAAAACCCAAGCGAAAGGCCCTCGAAATCACTCAACAAAATAAAACATACGACATCCGAGCCTTAGTTTAATCTTGCGTCTATGCAGTTGGAACGCTGAGTAGCAGTTCTGAATCCGATAGGATTTGGTTTGCAAGTAATCTCAAAGATCCCATGATAGATTTGAGAAACAAGTTTCATTTTTTTTAGTAATATCAGCTACCAGATACTAGAATCCTGATCAGTTCCAATGGCTGGTGGAGGGTTTGTTACATTCATCATTCATTTTGCTAGCGTTGGATAGGATTAATGCCAACCCTCAACTTTCAAGGAAAAAATAACAGAGACTGAACCAAGGTATAGATGCAAAAATTTGGCCATAAATTCATGATTTTACACAACTGGGACTGAAACAGATTCTATTCATTCCCTTGGGAGTAAGAAACTTTGTTTCTCAAGTTGGAGGACTCGCAAAATTTCAAACCCTGGATTGGTTAATTTCTTAAACTGTCTAGAGACCTAACGTGAATAAGCACTTACACGATTGATTCTCATAAAACCAAGCATATAAAACGGATTGTAGGCTTTCCAACCAGCAGCATATGACCTTTTTCTATAGTCTATACAGCAAGAAGACACAGATTTCTATAGGTTCAGAGTGATTAAGATATTAATGTCCCACTAGGACACAAGGGATTGGTTCCCATTTAACCATTGTACGCATATGCATTGATTACCCATTTCATAGCCTAAAATTCACAGCTTAAAGTAACCATAACATAAGCGTAGGCATTCATCTCCATTTTTTTTGTACAAAGAAAACCACCGTATGGAAATAAAAAAAAAAGTTGCAAGTGCATAGGCATTAATCACGCTTGTTCACAGAATAAGCTTAAACAATCTCATCAACCTAAACATTGATTACCCATTTTCACAGCTAAATTTACTTTCCAAGTGGCACAAAGGCAGCAATAACCAATCTCATCAACCTAGTCAGTAGTCACTACTCAGTACTCAATACAAGCTAACTGCAATCAATCTATTGCCACAATCTTCAATATGAAAATTTAAACATATTTCTATAGAGAACAAGAGAAAATGAGCAATATTATAGCATGTAAATTGAAAACCTCAGGGGAAAAAAAACCATCAAAGAGTTAACATCCAAAAGCATAAATCTTAATAACATTTTCCCAGTAGATGAAAATGGTTCAACAAAAATACAGAACTAAACCATAAAAATAAAATCCACAACTTTAATCCTTTAACAAAAGAGTACCCACCAAACAACAGAAATCTAAAGAACTACTTAGATCTTTGCCTCATCTTTCTTCTCTTCCTCTTCAACCTCCTCATACGCTTCTTCTTCCACTGAAATTATCAGAAACCCATATCAACATTTCAACCAAAAAACAATCCAAAGATCAGAAAGAAAATATTTTTTTTCAGATATTGAGGTTTTTACCTTAGCTCTCATGGTGAAAAGGCTTTCAAATTGGCCTCTTTTTGCAGTTCAAAATCTCTGGTTTGATGTTCTACTGAGGCTGCGGCGTGAACGAGAAGAGAAACTAGAGCATAGAGATTTTATACATATAGGGAAGCATTAAACCCTAAAGGCCTTCAAGCCGATGGTAAGGCCTTGGTTAATGGGCTTTGAGATTATATTTGGGGTTAAGCTAACTTGAGCCTTTGACAGCCCAAAATCTAGTTTTCTTTTTCAGAGGTCCAATTTTAGCCCTGTTAGCCCAATTCATTTTAATTTTTTAGAATATATTCTTTTTCTTTTAAAATTCTAAAAGAGGGACTAAAAAACTTAAAAATATACTTTTTTATATTAATTTTTTAAATTATTTCTAACATATCTCACATTTATAAAATTTAAAAACTTTACTGATAATGGATAAAATAATTTTTCTCTTATTATATGTTGAGATTGCATGCATTGTCCGTTTATAAGTTACTACGTAAATATAATTGTGTGATTAAAGGCAAAATCTTGTAACTACTTTACTAAAGCAAAGATAAAAGAAATTAATTTTAGAATTAAGGGACTGTTAAAAGAAATCTCCTCCATGCATCCTAATTAAAGTAGAATCCTTAATTTGTTGGATACTTCATGAATAAGTTATATAGTATTATGACTAGGAGCTTCATTCTATGTTCTGGCAAGCGGCAAGCAAAAGCCTAATGAGAAATTTTGGAAAGCAACAAAGGGAAAAAAAAAAAAAGAAAAAAGAGATGCTTTGATGAACAAATAAATGAATTCTGGCACCGCCATTCCAAAGTCATGCTTTGAAAACCCATAAAGCGATTTGCTATTGACGGAAAAATCTAGAATCAAATGTGTCAACTGAGTTTGCCTAACACATGCCCCACAACCAGAAAACCCATCACTCTGCAGACAGGCAAAGCATTACTACTTTTTACTAGCAGACAGAAGCCAATCTCATTGACATCCACCCATTCAGCCAATGTCATCAGTCTCCTAGCTGGCAATTGTAAGGGAAAAAAAGTGCAAATTCTAAACAAAATCAATGCTCCTTCCATGAAAAGGAAAAAGATAAATTACTTTGTTCATGTTTTCACTTTTGTATTAAGGGCAAAATTAGAGCTGACAAAAGCTTACTCCAATCTGCAAAATCTTTTCAATTTACTTGAATTCGAATTCATCTGATGAAGAGAAGTTCACAAATTGAAATTGAAATGATCTAAATATGAATTAACCCAAATTTGAAATGATTTAAACCCGAACAATCCAAAAGACTAATTTGAAGTGACCAGACCAAACTCAAAATGATCCGAAATAACCCAACTCAAACCAGAGCCAATTGTCACCTGGGTAAAACATATTATCTGACTAAAAGATTTGCCTATGGCTATACTCCATGTGCATAGAAATATGATGAGAGGTATGATTGAAAATGGAAACAAACACAAACTTATTGTAAACCGACATTAGAATCCAAGTTTACCAGATGTTTGACCTATCCAACAATGATATTGGTTTCCTAATGTCTGTTTATGTCCAATGCTAACAATGGTACGATTCGTCTACTTCTTGATGTTTGTTTTCAGATGACAGTTTGGATCTGACAGGAAACATTTATGAACAATTGGTAATTACTTTTCCCCTTGCAGTTTAGCTGTCAGCTTCATATATATCCTAGTTCATGCCTAAGTTTAGATGCCATTTTAAATGCAGTCTGTTAGAAGCATTTCTAAAAAGATGCAAAATTGACAGAAAATTTCTGGCTAGCCTCAACCTGTTGGCTACCTTACCATTGCAAGCATTGTATTAAAAAAAAAAATAAAAAAGAACCCAAATTTGTCAACATTGGTTTAATGGCATCAAATTCAAGTTTTAGAGAATGATTTGATGATACATACACAATTATTGTTGATAACTCTTAAAGGCAAGATTCATAATTTAATGTGTTAATGGTGTCTATAAACAGGAAGTAATATTTTTCATACTAAAATTATAGATTATTGACCCAGGTTATCTAAATTCTTAAATATGCAATAAGAGAAGAAGAAGAAGAAAAAAAAAAGCATGAATTTGATTTCTCCACTCACAACGACCCTTATTTAAAAGGCCAGAAGGCAACAAATGACCAACCATATTCATCCATTACTAAAAAACAAATAATTCATTGAGCAAATTCATGAAGCACACGGCATTCCATTTAGAGCACTCCCAACAAACCAACTCAAAATCCAAAACAGAAGAACAAATAATACAATAATCAAAACAAATTAGTGGAAATAGATGCTTTACAACATAGATCAACGTCATTTACAAGTATAGTTTTTTTTTTTTAATATTTCTTTTTGTTCTATGTTTTGTTGTCATTGACTTACAATGACAGGAATCTGATGAAGCTGACCTGATTCAACTCTGAGAGAAACTCTACATAGTGGGCAACTTGACTCAGCACTGAGCCACCTATCTACACACTCGGAATGGTAGGGATGATGACAAGAAGGCAAAACCTTAACTTTCTGGCCATCTTCAAACACTCCAAGACAGATACAACACTCACTCTCAAGCGCCCTCCCGCGCGTGACCATAGTTATAGGCAACGCATTGATGGTAGCGGGGTCAAGCCCTCGAGGCTGCAGCGGAGGAGGCGGACGCGCGTGGGAGGTCGGAGTGGGCGTGTCTCGGTAGCAGCTAAATACCCATCGGGCGTAAACGAAGATAAGAGTGAAAATAAGGAGGATGGCGAAGAGGACGACGATGAAGAAGAGGGTTCGGCCTCGGATTTCGAAGTCATGGTCTCCGAGCTCGGCGTAGTGCCAGTGGAAAGGCTGGGAGTCTTGGGTTGAAGCCATTTAGGAAAAGGAATCGTTTCAAGTCTTTTATAATAACAGTGGAAGTTTCGTCGTATCTTTTGCAGTTAATATCCATAGTTGGGAAGTGGACCGGAGGGCTTCTGTCCGAAATGTTGTTTTATACATGTATTTATTTTTATTATTATTTTGAGATATGATTAAAATATCGTATTTACTAAATATTAGTATAAATAATAATTTAAGAGCACATAATAAAACTTTTATTTTGTTGATAATGGATATCCCCCGATGAAAAAAAGATTGAGAGTATCTAAATTGAATCCAAAGTCTAATAAATTATGTCAAATCATATATTTTTTAAAAATCTTCGTCCTGATAACCTCGAATAAGGATTCCCGTAACGAGAAAAAATCTTTTCCACTACTTGAAAAGAAGGGATTGTGAAAATGTTTTGCTTAGAAGTGGAATTCATCTTCGTGGCCATAAAGTTAGGGGGAATAAGAAAGAGTAGTAATTTGAAAAAGGGCATTTATGGACTGTTCATCTCAACCTTGAAGAACTATCCAGACAAGCAAAGGGCCAAATTTTGCTTTCAAAGGTTGCTTTGCAGTAGGAAAAGTCAGATTAATCTTCAAGGGACAGAAAATGGTAATTGTTATTTCAGAGTATGCATTGCCCATCTGCATGCTTAAGCCATTCATTACTGACGATCTTATTTACACACAATTTTTGCCTAAATTATTACGATAGAAATCTAATACATAAATATAAATAAATTTATCACATAAATGTTTATATAGATAATTTTGACACATAAAATATTTTTAAAAAAAATACGATAACTTTTTTTATTTACAAATTAGATAATTTTAAATTTATTCAAATATCAAAATTATTTAAATTATAATTAAAAATCAAATCAATTTAGAGATATATTTTTTTAAATTAAAAATATAAAATATGGATTTTATTTTTTTAATAAATACTTTTAGTTGTTTATCAAATAATCTTATTTAAAAAAATATTTAATTATTAAAATATTTTAAACAAATTTGAAAATTACAAAGATTAAGTTTATCCAAATTTTTTATCAATCTTTTTTATATTGATTTTAAAAATTATATTTTTAAAAAATTTAAATAAAACATTAAAAATTCAAGCAACTTTAATTTTGTAATATAAGAATTTTTTTCATTAAATACGGGTATTTAAATATAAACAATAAAATAATTAAAGTGAAAATGAAATTATATATTTTTAATTATGAATGATAATTTAATTCATTTGTATTTCATTATATTTTTAAGCATTATCCAATTTATATCCTTAAGCCTAAGAAAGTGTTTATTTTTCAAGACTTTCTATCATTTTGTAAATTTGAATGCATTATTTTTAAGTCTAAATTTGATAATTACACAAAACTTGAAAATAGTTTATGAAGAGACTAATCATCAATTTTCATTTAAAAAATTCAAAAAATAAAGAGTTTAATATTTTTGAATAATATCTTTATATTTTATTCATATATTTATTTAAAATTTAATATAATTTTATAATTATAATTTTAAAAGAAATAAATAAATAAATTCGTGCATCCACTGGTCATAAGCTAGTTGATTAAATAGTTACTAAGAGCTTTGTGAAAAGGAAAAAAAGATGGATGATTTTAAAAGATTTGGACGAGACGAGTTCATGGTGGGGAAGAAAAATGTCCCTTGGATGTAGGTCCAACAACCGAAATGCAATTGGATTTCAATGAGGCGTCCACTTGGGCTTAGCTGAAATTAGCAATCCACTACTTAAATGGGCTTTAAAATGAATCCATTGGGCTTCTTCAAACAATCAATGTTTTAACTTAGTCGAAAACAAATGTTTTCATAATGCGTCCTCACACCACTTTACTTTGCTGCAGCTAGATCTAATAATTTATGTATTCATATAGTTAAAAATACTGATAATTCATATATTAAATTATATTTTTTATGAAAATTAAATATTACAATTAATAGTAATATGAAAATTAAATTTTATTTTTTTTATTTTATTAAATTCATATATGATTTTTATTAAAATTTTAAATCGTATTATTTTCATATTTATTTATATTTTTCAAATAATTTTCATGTCATATTACTATATAGTATTTAGTATCTTATTCACTGTTTTATGTTTTAGATTGCTACATCTAGATACAGCCGCAAGCTAAAACAGCTGCAAGTAGTATATACATAGGAGATGGGATGATATTTAGAAGTACAAAACAAGATAATAAATATACACTACTTCTAACAGACAATCAACAACATCTGCAGGAAAACGGTACAAGAATTCATGAAGGTAAGTTGCCTTGCTCTGTGCAATAAACAAGGTTTTATGAGGAAATAATAAAAAGTATGATATCTTTCATTAGCTCAACCAAATTAACTACAATAAATATAAAAAAATAATTCTTCTAAGAACAAGTAAAACTTGGAAATCTTTAAAAACTCTAATGTTGGTTAACCTTGTAAAATTTTACCATCAGCCTGTGATCTGTTGAACAAAGTGTGTCACACTCTTAGTTTGACAAAATCTCTAACAGCCTTTAGTATTAAAATGTAGAGTATTGATCTCAAAACTATATATGAAGGCAATAAGAGAGTTGTCCTAATTAACACAATGATGATGAGAATAACATTTTATCTGAGATATTATAACTTAGCTAAGCTAGGTTTACTTCATATATAGCAACATAAATATCAGATCTCTAACAGTGCATGTGAGAAAAAATATATATCCTCAAGCAAAACCAAAAAAAATTTACATATATAAGTGCTAGATCTTTCAATAATCAATGTTGTGAACTGCAATTACCACATGCATGTTAAAGATCATGAGAAATAATCAACAAAGAAACATATATGCAGGATGAACTACACATGAATTTGATTGAATTTAGGGTTATTAACCAATTTAATGCTTTCATTTTGAAAATTTCATTTATCACATCTAAGAAGTTAAAATGATGAAAAACATAATTCATTAATTCTTATATAAGATCTAACAAATAGGCTGGCCAGTGGGTTAGGCAATCCTTTTTATGATTCTATACAACTATAATAAAAATAAATAATAAATTGGAAGTAATAATAGATCAGAGCCAACTATTTTTTTCCAATATATATGAAGTGAAAATCATAAAATTTTCTTTCATTGAATTGATGATAAATTAAAGATAGAATTCTCACTCAAATGTAATTTGTTTTTCATTTGTTCCTACCACAAGCAAGTAGACTTAAACCCTAAAATAAAACATTCTTAAACTTCATCCAACAAGCATCCTCAAAGAAATTAAACAATAATTATAGAAACTTAGCCTTGCCTTTAGATGAAAGTGGCCATACCTTGAAAATCTCTCAAAGTTTCATCCGATCTTATCAAGGCAGTGTAGACACAATACATGCAACTATTTATATCGAAAAGAAAATCATAATATTGCACTTGCTCTTTCAATACTATAGATATAGGAGAGCCCTAGAAATATTAATCTGTGCTAAAATAAACCCTTCATTTCTTCTTCTGTTTCTTCATCTTTCAAGGGTCTCTTCGAATCTATAATTTGGTATTTCCATTGAAGCTTGCAATTGATTTCGTGAAGAGATCCATCGAAATTCTCCATTGAAGGTATGGAAATTTGTAGCCAAGAGTCTCCAGAAAAACCCTTAAAAAACTTGCATGCAAAACTGCAAGACAGTGTAGGGAAACCCAAAGAAACTTTGAATATAACCCATCAAAAATCAAAGAAGAAATTAGGATCCCCATAATCCCAAATGCATGCTGGGGGATATTCATCATCATTTGTTAAAGGCCAGACGGATGTAGATCCAGGTCCAACTGTTAAACCTGGATCCGGAACCGCTGGTGCAACCGAAGTCTGAGCTGACAAAGATAAGCTGGAACCCACCGAACCCACCAGGGAATTGATATCCTCGTACAAAGAACCTTGATGATGATGCTGATGTACTTGTTGAGCTTGAGGGTTAAGATTTGAATTAGAGGTTGTTCCAGTGGGTTCATGACCAGGGTTAACAACAAGGCTAGGTTCAGTTTGTTGCATTATTTGGAAGGCTTGTGGGGGATTTTGTACCATGTTTGGGTAAACTAAGGTTGGGTTTAAAAGGTTTGGATAAGCCCCATATGGCATAAACCTTGATGAAGAAGAAACCCCTGGTCCCATTAAAGAAGCTGGATTTGAAGAAGAAGCAAAACTAAAATCAAAGCCTGAAGGACGAGGAAGCAAAGGCCTTAGGGTTTGAGTATTGGAGGAAGAAGAAACACCACGAAAAGATGAAGAAGAAGAAGAAGAGGAGGAAGAGACGGATGGTTGAAGATTGAGCTGAGCCCTGGCACCATAGAGAATAATAGCTGCTCGGTCATAGGCTCGAGCTGCTTCCTCAGCTGTAGTGAAAGTTCCAAGCCATTTCCTTGTACGTTTCCGAGGTTCCCTGATCTCAGCAACCCATTTACCCCAACTCCTTTGCCTCACACCTCTATATCTAAACTTGTTATTATCAGGTCCACCTTTGCCTTTACATTTCCTGCTGGTGTTGCCTGGAGGGTTAGCATTGGTGGTAATGATATTGGTTTCAGATTCAGAGCTTTTGGCATCCTGATCAGGGGGAGGAGTGGTGGTTTTTGCGGTGGTTTCTTGGGGAAGGTGAGACAACGAAGACTGGTCGACCTGGTCCATTGAAAAATAGACAGAGTGCTGCTTTAAAAGGGGTTGGTTCAAAGAGAGATTGGGAGAAAAAACCCACCTCGTTCTTTGTTCTCGATTAGTCGAAAGGTGGAAAAGAGGAGACCCTGTTTTGATTTGAATGTCGTCCCTGTTAATGGTGGATGAGGGCGGTGGCTCCTTATATACGAGAGAAAGAGAAAGAGAAAGAGAAAGATTGCTGAACAGTTAAGAAAGTAGGCAAAACTTTGGTTTGGGAATTCGAAATCATTTAATGTATTTTTTATTTGATTTTTTGCTTTTTGCTTTTTTTTGTTTGCAATATGTAGATTTTGTAATTTCTATTTTACGCAAATTCCTAGGAAATTATTGAGCAAACCTTTTTGTCTAAGGAAAGTGTTATTAACTTTGTTTTCATTTATTAGCAAAATCTTAGGTTTGATTAATGATCTTATCTTGTCACATCGGTTGTCAAGATATATTTACTTTTACTTGAACTTTGTTTTCTTCTATTAAAATGTTTTGGATTAACATTAAGATTTGTAATTATTTTTAATATTCTCAATTTGAGTGTTATTGATTTTTATTATATTTTAAAAAAATTAATTTTAATATATTTAATATTAAATATTAATATTAAATTTTATGATTTTTAATATAAAAAAGTAAAAAAATCATAAAAATAACTTTAAATATAAAAAATAAAAATTTTATATATTTAAAAAACTAAAATATAATTTTAAAATATTTAAAAAATGAATAAATAAAATAGAAAGAAATAAGTAATTTGATAAAATGAATATTGAGATTCAGCTAGTCATTTTGCTAATTTTATCATAATGTATAGATCTATAAATTTATAGTGATACATAATTAAAAAAGTTGCTATTAATATTTTTTTAGATGTGATTGGTCATTTAATTGAATCTGTATTTTTTTTAAAAAGAAATCATAAACTTAACTTAAGTATCTTTAAAATATAGATTTTATGTTTATGAAACCAAAACTAGATCTGAGAGTATGACTATGTGTGAGAAAAGTTATAATATCCTTACAATGCCCATCAAATGATAGTATCAGTTTGATTTCATATTATCTAAGACTTAAAATTTTTTTGTAATTTACCTAAAAAATTTAATATTAAATTTTTTTTTTAAATTATTCCAATAATTTGATGGTAATTTAAGACAATTTACTTATCTCAGTAGTATTCATAGAGATTTGTGTCCCACTCTAAAGAGGTTCCATCGTCAGATTCATTAATATATTTTTTAAGAAATTATTTTTTGAAAATAAATCAATAAAATCCTCCAATCGTTTGGCAAGATTTTATATTAATGTATATTCTTAAATCATTTGGTGGGTTTTTGTTGAAAATCTTTATTTTTTAATAAAAATTTAAAAAAAAATAAAAATCATTAAATTATTTAATAATTTGAAAAGATTTAACATAAATTTAAATCATCTAATCATTCGGTAAAATTAAAATTTTATTTTATTCTGTTAAAAATTCATTATGAAATTCTTCATTATTTGGTAAAATTCATAATTTAAAATTAAAATTCTCTAATTATTTGATAGGATTAAAAAAATAAATATAAGTAAAATAAAAAATAAAATAAAAAATAAAAAATAATCAATTGAAATTTGAATAAATAACATAACCTAAAAAAAATACTAAAAAGAATTTATGAAATAAAATAAAACAAGAAAATAACAAATAAATAAACAAATAATTATTTACTAACAAATAGCTCGACTTAGACAGCTAAGAAAAGGTCGTTCAAAGCACAAAAGGACAGCTTGATCAAGGCGGCTCAAAGCTTGGCTTAGCTTCTAGTCTGGCTCAGCTCAATTTCAAATCAGTTCCACGCACACGGGTCGGGTGTGGCATAGTTCAAATCTTCAAGCGGTAAAATATACGGGTCTTGGACGTTTTTATTCCTCAACATGACGTCGTTTCAATTAGGTATAAAAGCCCAAAATTTTTTTTCCTTCAGATTTCTTTTCTTTTCTCTCTCCGCTTTCTCTCTTCCCCAAAACTCTCTCTTCTCTCTCTAAAAAGCTTCAAACGCCGACTGAAAAATCATCGAAAACTGAGAATTTCAATAAGAAAATCACCGAAAAATGCAAACTCTGTCAAAAAATTTAAATGGTTTATGGAATTTTCAAAAATTTCTCAAAAACAAAAATCAATAATTTTTTTTTGTGTTTCCTGCTTCCACAAACAATATTCAACTACCAAATCAACTTTTCTCGATTTCCAAATTTCTCCAAAAAATTTCTCCCAGAAAAATTCTCTAAAAATTTTTTAATGCTCTTACATTCCCTCTGGTTGCTTCTGTTTTTGCTATTTTTCTCTGCTGATTTGTGTTTCTGCTAATTTTTTCGTGCCTCCTTATTGCTTGATTTGGGTTTGTATTTATAGGGATCTGATTATAAGAACCCTAAATCAAAAAGGGTTTTAATTTCACTTCAATTCCAACTTCAAACCCAAATTTTTTAACCCAAAAAAAAAAAAAGTTCCAGACTAAACCGTTTCAAACTTTCCTTTTTTTTTTTGTTTTTTTTAACATTTAACAAAAACAAATCAAACAGTTACAACCCTAAACAAATTGGGATGTATACAAACTTAAGTATAATAATCTTATTTTTTTTTCTTTTCATTAATGAAAAACAAAAACAATATATATTGCTTATAATCTTCTTCAGTTTCATATAAAAAATTTGATCGAACATAGTCAATTTTTATTTGAGAAAATGCTAAAATATCTACTACTCCGATCACCAATTAATCAGGCTGAGAAATAAATTAATGCTAATACATGCATAATATTTGTGAATAATTAGATAGCTGAAATATTAAACAAGATAGCATTTTTATTTTTTACCAATTTTTTTAGTAATATAGTCTTTCTCGAACAATTTTGAAGGCGTATTTTCTGACATAAGATATATTGAAATTTTATTTTCAAAATATTTAAAAATTTTGAAAAGGACAAAATTTATTTTTTTCTAACATAAGAATCCAAAAGAACTAGCACATCGATCATTGCATGCAGCAAGAGCAGCAGCCTCGTACAGAGAGGATGTAATGGCTCTTCATCAAATGAATGAATCCCTTGAAGAGTAAAAAATTTTAATATGCTTCAAGCTTCTTCTTGTCTTTTTTTTTGGCCAGCCGCTTCAAGCGTATTAGACTTGCCAGGATTTGGTGAAGTTAGTGCCTCGCCCCTGAGCAGCTAGCTACAAACCAAAGTTGTCTGATCTGAATGCCGGCCGTGGCTCAGAATCTCTGGTTCCTCGATCGCCTCCTTGTTATTTTTCTTTAACTTGCATTTCCTAGGGGATCTTACTTCGTCAAGAAGGCTTGATCCTGGCAACAGAAATGAAGAAACTCCTCTGAAGATCAAGGTAATGCTTCAACTGATTATAGAAGATCCAACAAATTCAATTGGTTTTATCATCTCTGCAATACATTTATAATCAGCTGAATCTTAATTAATTTATCCTCTCTTGCATTTGATAATGTGATATAAATAGCAGATTGAATATAAATTCTTAAAGGATCAAAGACTGACTTCCAAGAAACGAAGTTTCAAAGGACATAAGAGAGACAGTTTTCCTCTGAAAATATTGGAAATAAGCAAAAACTCTTTGAATCTCTCTCCATTCATTTTGTTGATAGCTTCAAAACTCGAAATGTTAATGGGGTTTTTGACTTTTGGTCAAGTTATCTGTTTTTCATAGCATAAAAATTTTTTTATTAGGTTAAGGAGTGTGATAGTTTAAGACAATTTTTTAAATTTAATATAGAATTTATAATAATATTTTTATATTAAATGCAGGAGAGGATAGTTATCGTGATACTTTTAATGTACTGAAAAAATGTATTTTTTTAATATGCTATTTTTAAAGCGTATTTTTAAGATTTTTGTTAACAAAATATTTTTTAAATTATCAATAACTATTTTATAAGGCTTTTTTTTTTTTTTAATTTCAACCTTAGATTTATTTATAGTTTTAATTTGTTTTATATATAGAAAAGGGTTTTTTTTTTCTTTTTTAACAAAAGTACTTATTAATTAATATGCTGTCATATATATTAAAAAATTTATATGTTCATGAATTCAATTTACTATATATATTTTTCATGTGTGTATCTGTTTATCTCATACTCTTATATATTCATGATATAATAGAGGTATGATTTTGTGTATATAACATATATATGAAGACAAGTTGATTGCCATATCCAGAACTCATGTATATCTTGGCTTCTTGAATTACCATATATAGTAACTGTGGATTTTTTGTATCATATATATACCTGGGGATTCTTTAGTTATGGCTAAAAGAAATACATGAAATCAAAGGAAAAAGTCACTGCACGAGGCCCTACAATACTTTTCTTTTGTTTGATTTCTTTTTTTTTTTTTTTGGCATTTTGAAGGGATAAAAACTTTAGTACTGCAGATTTTACCTTTTTTTATATATAGAGTAGAGTACTGTAATTGAAGAATTACATCAGTGATTTAGAGTTGATGATTTAATTACATAGTTGTGCTGATGAACCACCACGGTAAATTTGGTGGTGCTTGAGCATGATAATGAAAATTAAATGAAAAAGCAATTTTGCATGAAGAGAGATGAGGTGTCTTCACGTAAGATGAGGAAATCTTGTTGACGAACAAGTCCTCGAAGAGAAGAGAAAGCAAAGCATCTGGTGGGGCAGCCACTGGGGTCTGCCTCGTAACTCGCGATTACCCACATCCATCAATCAAAGCACAGCAAATGCAAAGAAAGAAAGAGAAAGAGAGAGGCGTCTGACATCTGATTCCCTCTCAGACTAAGAGGCTGAAAAATCTGAACCGGGGAACTGTCTTTCTTTAATTTCTTTTCTGTTTCTGCCGTGTTCTTTGTCGTCCATTTAGGAATAAAAATCGTGCGGGGTTGGAAGGCCGCTGTTCCATTCAGACCCACAACGCATCCACTGAAATCTCATTAATATAACGAACATAATCTTATTTTATATATTACTATCGTGGGTGATTGTTAATTCAGTGGATTCTATTAATTTTAAATTAAATTATTTGAAATTAAATTATTTTATTTTATTTTTATTAATAAAATCTAATTTACTAATTTTAAAAATAAATTATTAAATTTAATTTGATCGATTCATTTAATTTTTATTAATTAAATAATAAATATTTTTAAATTAAATTAAATTTTAAATTTTTATATATTAAATAAATTAAATAAAATTATCTAATAAAATATTCAAATATCAAAATATTATATTAAAAATTATAACAACTTATGAAATAAAAAAATCAATTTTATGTATTTTTTATTTTATATTTGAATTATTTTATATTTCAATTAAAATTTTAATTAATTCAATTTTCAAACATAATTAACCAAAAAATTAACATTTTTAAAAATTATTTTACTAATCAATCTATTAATTGAATTAATTAATTAACTTAATTAAATTGATTCAATCAATAAATTTAATTAAAATCGAATTATAAACTTTTACTTGTTGATTTAAGGTTTAGGTGGGAAGGTAATACTATGGCCCATCTAATTTTAGGCCTTCTATTTTTACTGTAGTCCTACGAAATTGGCCCAACTTTCTTCTTCAGGGAAGCTTTCAATGGCCCACTTTCCTCCAGGCCTCCACTTCTATAACCGGCTTTGTCTTGATATGATATATCTTTTAGGCTGACTTCCCCTTTTTCTTAGTGTGACCGCACATTATTCGGCCGGTTTGGTGATGCTCACCGGTGAGCAGTGACTGCTAGTGCCGTTTTGGCATAAAACAAGGTTCCTGTGCCGAGGAGAATGAATACCCACCGAACGGATCCTTAGTTTGGATATACCGATGCTTGTAAATTACTTGAATTTGATTGAAATAAAATAAAATTTTAATTTAATTATTATTTAGTTGAATTTAAGTTTGAATAATTTAATTTATCAAATGAATCAAGTTCAAAAGTTATAATATTTTATTTGAGTAATTCGTAAATTTAATTTAATTTTTATATTTTAATAATTTTAATTAAAAAATTATTTTTATTTTTATGTATATTTATCAATTTAAATTTGAACTCGAATTCGAATATGAATAATCGAATTTGAAATCTGACACAAGAATCAAATTTTTTTATTTTATAAAATGAGCTTAATTGAATAAGTTTTATAATTTAATTTTTATTTTAAATCAAATTCAAATTTAAAAATTAAAATTTAATAAAACTTAAATCAAATTTTAAATTAAATTTTAGCTCAAAAATTTTTTTATATTGATTCGATTCGATTACATTTGAATACTTATTTGATAATTCAACTTTTTTTTCAACTTACAAATTAGTAACAGTTGAATATATATTATTCGACAGCCGGTTTAATATCTAGAACTTCCCTTTTTCTTGAAAAAAAAAAAGAAGTAATGTTATGGGAAGCGTGATTGAGGCTTTAGTTCACAATAATTTATGAGAGGCTAACTATGAAACAGATCAGATTTCTGATACACATGTGTTATAATTTTCCACACTATAATTATTACATTCCAAGGGGCTGAAGGTTGGGGGGCAGTTTCCTAGTCTATACCATGTGAGGGGGGGAGTGTTAGGTGAAGTTGATGTGCTTAAGATTTCCAACCAAATCTCTCAAAGATATGTCTTACAATAAAAGAATATTTAGGTGAAATCATGTAAAGAAGCTTATTTTTTGGAGCAAATTAGGGGATAATCACACTTATTTATTGAATAAAAGACAAAGAGAATCAAGTTGATTCTCCAACCATATCCCTTGTACTCATTCAATCTTCTAAATGACTATGGCTTACTATATAATAGCAGCTGGTTGATTTTATGGTAGAGCACTTCATAACATGATTGAAGTTTTATTTATAAAATAGAGCCTACCCATGTTCATTTCATACCTTGTGTCATGATTCAAGAAGATTTGAGGAAGGTTTTTAAGTATTAAAATATATATATATATATATATATATATTAGCCATAACTTGATTGAAAAGCAATACAAAAAATTATATTTTATAATATATATGTATGTGTGTACGAACCTTTTTTAAATTTATAAGAACAATAAAATTCAAATCATTAAATTGTTATTTGAATTTTAAAACATCATGTTAAAAATTGGTTTTACTTATTATCCATTAGTTTGAATTACAAATGCAGCCACCTATTCATTTTCTCTTAATACCATTCATATTATCAAAGTTATAAGGCTTTTGAAGTAGAAAAAAATATTTTGTATACAATGGCAAGGATATGTGGTAGAGGCAATCTTTCTTTTCATTTTTTTTTTAATTAAACTTTACTTTAAAGATTATGTATCAATTATTTAATCAAATGTGCATTTATTTTTTTAATTTTTTTTAAATCCAAAAAAATTAAAATTAATGACAATGTTTGGTTTAAGACTCATGTACATACCTGTAAAAATTATTTATGAAAGATTATACTTGAACCATCAAGGCAAAAAAGATGAATTGTGGTACACATAATGCTAGAATTTTAAATTTATTCATTTTGAAAACTCTTGCACTTGGCAAATGCAAAGAGATGAGATCCCTCATTGTTGAACTTGGTGTTTCCCTTACGGATGAAAATAAATTGAAAACATGGACTTGAAATTATATTAATTGGATTGTTTGGATCGGTATTTGTTTTATTCAATTCCATTTAAATTTAAATATTAAATTAACATAAAAAAAATAAAAATTATATGTTTTTATTAATTTTTATAAAATAAAAATAATTATTTTATACTTAAATTTATTTAAATATATTAAAATTATATTAAAATAATATATAAAAACTGATAAATCATATTAATAAAATTTGATTTAAATAATATAACAATTCTATTCAAATTAAAAATTTTAAATTTTATAATATTATTTAAAAAAACCGTAACGAATCCATTTCAAATACTTAATTTCTTCCTAATTTTCCATTATTCCAAATTTTCCATTTAAATTGGAAGGGGAACCTGGCCCTACGTTAAAGGTAAGAAGAAAAACAAATCACATTGAAAAAAGTTCCAAAATACAAATGCGACCATTAAGCTTGTGGCCACCGATTCACAACCCAAAAAAATAATATTATATAGAAAAAAAAAGTTGTGGTTTTTACATTTTTCCTTTTTTTTTTTTTTTTTTCTATTTTACTAATATTTAGGATCAGAATGTCAATCACTCAAAGTCAGTTAAAAAGAAAATGATAAGTCATATATACATATGCAGGAAGTCAACGAATGGGCCAAAATCCAGTGTGGTCCTAATTAGTGAAACTCCTGACCAGATGTTCATATCTCTGGGCGGCAGTTGTGGGGACCGCCACCATCGCCTTCACTGCGTCCGTCTGATTAAAAACCGGTAAAAGCAAACAGTATCGATCACAGCAAATGGGTCCCACATGAACTGGCTTCCCCATCCCCAAGTCAACCTTCTCTAATCCGAGCCTTGACCATTGCGACAGTATCAAAACCCCTACCGAGTCCGGACTCGCCCTACTTTGGCCCACTATTTCCACCACCGATTTCACGAACTCACTATCCACTTGCTCTTTCGCTCTCTTCACCAGCATTGTCGCGTGCCCTAAACCCTTCTCTGTCAACTCATTAACACTGGTTTGTGCGCACCCTAATACAAACGCGTTGCCGTAATACCCACTGGGCAGAGTCGGCTTGACTCGGTTTCTAACGTTGATGCTGAAAAGAAGCTTTAATATTTGGTTGGAAGGTAAGTTTAAAGCTCTAGCCCAGCTCCTCCATATATGAGCTGAGAGAACATCGAAAGATGTGTAATTTGACTCACTGTGTCTGCTTGTGGAAGAAGCTAACTTTTTTAACTCGTTGAGACTCGTTTTATTGAAAATAAATGAGGTGGGGGTGAGTCTTTCGTTGGAGAAACGAGCCAGGAACCCGCAAAGGTCTGGAACTCGGTTAAACTCGGGGTGACTCAGTGCGTTGTTATTATTATTTCTTGATGGCTTGAATGGTGCTGGGTTTAGAAGGTGGCGATCCCAAATGGGTTTGGGCTTAAACTTGAACTCGGAGAACTTGGTTTGACTCGTGGACGCTAACTCAGCGAACGAGTTGAGAAACTCAGCGCTGCCGATACCGTCACAAAGACAATGATTAATGCCAACACCAAGCGCAGCATTGCCGTCTTTTAGCCACGTCAGCTGGACAACCAGAGGTGGGGCCCCTTTCAGCACATCAGCCACGTGTAACGACAAGAGCTTCCTCCATTGCGTAACGAACCGTGGAGCTTTCTCGAATTCGTTAACGTTATGATCCGAGACAGCTTCCATGAACAAAACACCCTGGGCTCGACAAACAACCTCAAGGCCAGAGGAGCCATCTGGCTTGGCCCTGACTCGACCGGCCAGTGGGTAATAGGGAACCAAGGTTTTGGCTAGAGCAGCCTTGACTCGAGCCGTGGTGGCTCCTGGGTCTAAACCAGGGTGAGGTTTATAAACCAGAAGGTATTCAATGGTGAAACGTAGAAAAAGTTGAGAGTCAAGAGATGAAAGAGACAGAACCCCAGTTGGAGTTGGCTCAGATGGAGTTACAATTGTAGCTTCCTTGACATGAACAAACGACCCCATGTTTCTTTTTTTTTTTTTAAAGGTTCAGGGTTTGAGTTCTTGTTGGGTTAAGCAAGGCTTGGCGCTTTAAGGGGTTTATATAAGGGAAAGGGAACTAAACCTTTTTTTTTGTGAATTGGAATATATATTTTTTATATTTTATAATAAGGAAGTGAGGCATGTGGATCTTTTGTGTGTCTAACTGTGAAAGATTTGTGCCAAGATTCTCCGGGCATCACTTTATGGAAAAATTAATATCAAAACAAATGTTAACAGCTTGGCTTGGCTTTGCTTTCTGTCGGTTCGGCCGGGATTGATAGCTATCACTTTCCTTCTCGCCATCCCCCATTCGATGATCAACTCCATTTTTTCTCTCTCTCTCTTTCTCTTAAAATTTGCTCGTAATGTTTTAAACATATTGGGACAGTTTCAACAATAAGACAGACTCGAGATTATTGCACAATCACTTAAGAAATTATATCATATCTAATAATTTTTCAATTCATGTTATTTGTATAAATAGTCAAACTCCAAATGATTAAGTTAAGATTTGAATTTTATACATTTTTGATACAATATGATTGAGTTTATCATATCATTTGTTAATTTAAATATTAATTTTAATAAAATTTATTTAATATAAATTTTTTATTAAAATTTTTTCAACTACAATTCAATAAATTTTATTATTTTTTTAATCTTTTCAAAATTAACCTTACCTCTTATTAAACGAAGCCTAATTCCTCATTTCACAAAATTACTTTGGATTACATCCACCAGACCATTTGGTTGGTTTAAGTGATTACATTGAAGATTATTACACAATCTTTTAAGAAATTATGATCATATCTAATAATTTTTCAATTCATGTTACTTGTATAAATAGTCAAATTCCAAATGATTAAGCTTAGATTTGAATTTTATTGCATTTTCGATACAATATGATTAAACTTATTACATTATTAGTTAAATTTAAATATTAATTTCATTAAAATCTATTCAATATAAAATTTTTATTAATTTTTTTAAATTACAACTACAATAACTTTTATTATTTTTTTTAATCTCACAAAAAATAATCTTATTCCCTTTCCAAATAAAACTTAATTCCTCATTTCACAAATTTACTTTGCATCCACTATAGATAATTCAATCTATCTGAGTTCTAATTGATTTTGTTTTTGTTAATAAAAGAAACAAAAAACAAAAAAAAAAGAAAAGAAAAAAATCAGTGGTTGAGCTTGAGTTGGGTTGAAGAGTTTGAGTTAGACTTGAAATTTGGAGTTGAATTTGAAGGGAATCGAAACTCTTTTTTAGTTTAAGGTTCTTAGATTTTAAACTCTATAAATACATAAGTGCATCAAGCCTTAAAAAACACAGAGACATCAGAGAAAAAACACGCAAAGTAAGCTAGAGAATACAAGATTTTTTGAAGATTTTTTTTTGTTTAAAAAAAAAGATTTTTTCTGAAAATTTTAGAAAGAATCTTTTTGGAAATCTGAATTTTCAGTTAAATTTTTTTATAATCTTTGAAGATTTTGGTGACTTTTTGACAAGATTCTAAGTTTTCGGCATCATATTTTCAGAAACTAATAAATTTTCAATGAACTTTCGGTGACTCAATCTAGATTCCTTTGAGATTTTCTAGAATCAGGTAAAGATTCGACTGATATTCATTAGTTTTTAGAGAGAGTGTGAAAGAAAAGTGAAAAGGAGAGAGAGGAGAAGAAGAAATTTGAGAAAAAAGAAAGTTTGGCCTATTTATACCCAATTGAAATGATGTCGTTTTAGGCATTTAATTCAGCCTAGGATCTGTATTTTCCAACGAGTAACCCAACTCGCAGCATCTAGACCTGCAATCGTTTCTAGCAACTGGAACCTGAAACTGAGTTAAACTATTGAGTCGCGTCTTTGGAGTAGCTTTCTGTGCCTGAAGTTGAGCCACGCCACAGTTGCTGAAGCTGAGCCGATCCTGTTTGATATTTTATTTATTTTTAAAGTATTTTTGCATTATTAAATTTTAAAAAAAACTAGAAAGCTTTTAATAAAATAAAATAATTTTTTTAGAATAAATAATAATTATCAAATGATAGAATTTTTATAAAATTCTTAGGTGAGAAATATTTTCTAAATTTATCCTAAATGGTGGAATAATTTAGATAAAGTTTCAATAATAATAATAATTAATATTTATTTTCAATTTATAAAAAAGAAAAAATAAAAAAATTAATAAAAATTTTTGGAATTTAAATATTAATTACCTAACGATGAGACTCTTAGAAATTTCAAATGGTAATTTTTTAAGAAATCTTTAGGTGAAAAATTTCTCTAAATTTATTCCAAATGGTAAAATAATTTAGATGAAATTTCAATAAAATTAATTGTATTCTTTTCCAAATAAAAATTTTTGATTGAAAATATTTGACAATTATCAAATGATGAGAATATTAGAAATTTCAAATGATAAATTTCTTAAGAAATCTCTAAGTGATAAATTTCTTTAAATTTATCCAAAATGGTGGAAGAATTTAAATAAAATTTCAAAAAATAATTGTCGTATTGTTTTCTTTCCAAAGATAAAAAAAAAAAATTCTACATAGACCAAAATGGTGAAAAATTTAGAAATAAAAAAGAAAAATTTTAAATTGGCTCAAATGGTGGAAAATTTAGAAATAAAACTTGTAAAATAAAAAATAAATTTCAAAAATGAAATTCTTACTAATCACAAATGGATGATTATCTAAGAAATTTTTAAGTGAGAAGATATTTTTAATTTGACCCAAATGGTGGAATAATTAGTTATATTTTCAATAAAAAAAATGTTTAAACATTTTTTCAATGACGGAGTCTCTTAAAAAAAAAATAAATAGCATTCTTAAAAACTTTTGAGGTGAAAAAATATTTTTAAGAGTTCTACCAGATTGATGGAAAATTTTAAAAGTTATTTTTAATATTAAATTTAAGACCATTGAATCAAGACCTTAGGATAATTTAAAATAAAATGGTACTGTCTTTTGGATAGGCATGTAAGGGTGCTATAACCTTTCCCATATGTAACCAAATTCTCAAACCCCATTCTGATTAGTAGACTAGAACCTATTCTTTTGAGATTTCTTAGTCAAACTTAGGAGCTCCTTAAAAAGATAGATTCATTAAATGGCCAATCACACATTAATAAAAGATTAGTGACGACTCCTTTTATTAAATCTAGCTATAGATTTACGGATCTATATGTTATGATAGTTTGACAATTTTACTTGGTATGAGGCCATAAAGAGTCAAGTCATAAACTTTTAAATTTATCCTATCCTTTGGTCTAATGGTTTTAAAGTGTAATGAGTATGTTATTTGTTTACATTACTTTAAAGTATAAAATATAGAGATTGATGAAAGATGGAATGATAAACTTTGATATAGAAAAGATAACAACACCTAATATTAGTGACAATCCTTTGCCTAACCATAATGTGAATGCTTTAAGTGAGGATAAAGAGCATCATATGAAAAAGAAAGTGAAAAAAATCAAGATGCCTTTTAGTTAGCTATTCGATGTTTTGTACAAAATTGATATGATATAGTCGATGGATCCCCGTAATTATCGTGAAATATATATATCAAAGGAAAGTTGTAAGTATCATAATGGGGTAATTGGCCACTCTATTGAAACTTGTCAGTAATTTTGCCAATAGGTGCAAAAGGTCATAGATTCTTACCAAATTAAGCTTTATGAAGAGGGTAAACCTTAGAAAGTGCTGAAGTGTCTATGATTGACAAGCCACTAAAATTGGTTCTAAAACCAATAATAATTTACTGTAAGAAGAAACCAAGGTCGATTATGGACAAACTCATCTCCAGAACAGTAACTTTTAAAGTCCATACTCCATTTCTCTATAAGGATGATAAAGCTATGTCATGGAGATATGACTATGATATGGTAGTCTAAGGACAAAAGGAGAATACATCCAAGTCTGATGCTACCAATATAACTGGTGTAAAAGGTATAACTCAAAATAGAAGATGCATACTTTAAAATGCTAGACACCTGAAATGAAAGATGCTATACTCTAGAAATACTAAACGGGGCTAAGAAAGAAAAGGCTAAGGTAGAAAAAGAACATAATAAACCAAAAGTGGTGCCTGAAAAAGAATGTCAAAAGCCAATGTCAAAAAAATGGCTTACTAATTCTTGAAATTCATAAAGCATAATGAATACTTTGTGGTTAAACAATTGAATAAGATACCAGCATGAATCTCATTGCTATTTTTGTTATTGAATTATGAACTTCACCAAAATGCCTTGCTAAATGTGTTAAACTAGGCATATGTGATATATAATATGTCTATTGAGTATGTGAATCACTTAGCTAAAAACTTGGTAATGCCAAATTATATAGCATTTAACGATGATGAAATTTTTCTAAAAGAAAATGAAAGTTCCAAGGCTCTACATATCACTGTCAAGTGTAAAAGCCATATTATAGCCAAAATCCTCATTGATAATGCCTATGTTATTAATGTCATGTCTATGTCAACTTTGCCAAGGCTACTTGTTGATTACTCATATATGTTATTAATTTCTGGTAAGGGCATTGAATTTAGAGAAAAAATATTCTGTTAAAAGAAGATATGGAAAGATGATTGGGAATCAAATTGATTTGGTCTTAGTACTTGAAGATTGAAGAGTTCGAGATTTAAGAAAAAAAGCTTGAGAAACTTGAGTACCATAATTGAAAAAAAATTAATTAATTGACATTTGCATAGCATGCATTACATTTTTAAATGTTTAATGCACAACATGCATTACATTTAAGAGTGTTTAGTGTATGAATTTAAAAAATAGAGATATTTTAAGATCTTATATAGAGAAGATAGATATAAAAACTTTCCAATGAAAGAATTTCAAATTCTTATTTAAAAAAAAAACCTCTGAAGTAAGGTTTTAATCCTTGAAAAAAGATATTTTTTAATATTAGGAATGATTTGTAAGACCTCTTAGCATAATCTCTTATAATTTTTTTTGATGATCTATAAAGCCTTTGGACATGATTAAAAAGGAACCTTATTTATTTTTCAAAAGTTGTTAAGCTTCTGCTTAGATGAGCTTATTTATCTTTCAAAAGTCATTAAGCTTTTGCTTAGAGGAGGTTATTTGTTTTTCAAAAGTTATCCAGCTTCTGTTTAGAGAAGCTTTTATTTATTTTCAAAAGTTGTTAAGCTTTTGCTTAAATGAGCTTATTTACTT